ACCCCTTTTGATACCTATCTTAGTGATAAAGGAATTATTCATCAAAATTCAGGTGTTTATACTCCTCAACAAAATGGAGTTGCAGAACGTAAGAATCGACACCTCTTAGAAGTAACCCGTGCTCTTTTGTTTCATATGCTCATGCCTAAACGGTTTTGGGGTGATGCTGTTCTTATTGCCTGTCATCTTATTAACCGTATGCCGTCATCTGTATTAGATGGCAAATCTCCACATTCTATTTTATTTCCTGATTCTCCTTTGTTTTCTCTTACTCCTCGAGTTTTTGGCTGTGTCTGTTATGTCCACAATCTTGGTCCTGGTTTTGATAAACTTGACCCACGTGCCACAAAGTGTGTATTTCTTGGATACTCTCGTTCTCATAAAGGTTATCGTTGTTATAGTCCTGTTTCTCAACGGTACTTTAGTAGCGTGGATGTGACCTTTTGTGAGTCCGTCCCATATTTTTCAGATAGTGATTCAATTCTTGATATTACTTCTGAGTCGCTTCTTCCTGCGGTTCCACTTCCCTCACTTTCTCTTCAGCCTAGATCTCCTTTGCTTGCCCCGTTACAGGTGTACACTCGAAGACCAAAGCCATCTGCTGTCGTGCCTCCTCCGTCGTCTTCAGAGTCTTTGGATCCAACACCTTCCACTGTGTCTGAATCCTTGCCTATTGCACTACGTAAAGCTCCTCGCTCCTGTGTTACTAAACATCCCATTGCTCAGTATGTCTCTTATAATTCCTTATCGCCATCTTTCTCATGTTTTTCCTCTCAATTGTCTACTACATTTGTTCCTAAGACTGTGCAGGATGCTTTGTCTGATTCAGGCTGGAGGAAAGCCATGCAAGATGAAATTGATGCTTTGCATCAGAATGACACGTGGAATCTTGTTCCTTTATCTCCAGGTGTCAAACCAGTTGGTTGTCGCTGGGTCTACACTGTGAAGTATCTTCCAGATGGGTCCGTTGAGCGGTTAAAAGCTCGTCTTGTTGCCAAAGGTTATACCCAGACTTATGGTATTGATTATGATGAGACGTTTGCCCCTGTTGCTAAGATTTCTTCTATTCGTGTTTTGATTTCTCTTGCTGCTAATAGACATTGGCCTCTGTTTCAGTTAGACATTAAAAATGCTTTTTTGCATGGTGACTTAGTCGAAGAGGTTTATATGGAGCAACCACCTGGGTTTGTTGCTCAGGGGGAGTCTCTTTACACTGTTTGTCGCCTTAAAAAGGCCCTATATGGATTGAAACAATCTAACAGATGTCAGACTGACCATTCGGTATTTCACCAGCGCACTAAAGCTGGCTTCATCTTTCTTGTTGTATATGTAGATGATATTGTGATCACAGTTGATGATTCTGAAGGCATTGCTAAGTTGAAGTTGTTTCTGCAATATCGATTCCACACTAAAGACTTGGGTAAACTTAAGTATTTCTTGGGTATTGAAGTTGCTAGATCCAAGAAGGGTATAAGTTTATTACAACGAAAATATGTGTTGGATTTATTAGAAGAAACAGGTATGTTGGGTGGTCGCCCGGTTGATGCTCCTATGGATTCGAATACAAAACTTGTGTCTGATGAGGGTGATCTATTTAATGATCCGGGCAGATTTCGTCGTCTAGTTGGAGAATTAATTTATCTCACTATCACTCGACCTGATATTTCATATGCAGTTAGTGTTGTAAGTCAGTTTATGGGAGCTCCTAGAATGCCACATTGGATTGTTGTTTTTCGGATTATCCGATATCTCAAGCAAGCTCCAGGTGTTGGGTTACTATATAAATCAAATGGTCATCTCAGGGTGGAAGGTTTTACAGATGCCGATTGGGCTGGTTCTCCTTCAGATAGGAGATCTACTACAGGCTACTGCACATTTGTAGGAGGCAATCTTGTACATGGCGAAGTAAAAAGCAAACGGTGGTAGCTCGATCTAGTGCTGAAGCTGAGTATAGGGCAATGGCTCATACTACTAGTGAGTTGACCTGGATACAACTTTTTCTAAAAGAACTTGGGTTGACAGTTGAAGTTCCTACTCTATTGTTCTGTGATAATCAAGCAGCAGTTCACATTGCCTCAAATCCTGTGTTTCATGAGAGGACCAAACATATTGAAGTTGATTGTCACTTCATTCGAGAAAAGATATTGCTTGGGAGCATCTCTACTCCATTCGTGAAGTCTAAAGATCAATTAGCTGATATGTTTACCAAAGCATTGGGTCATAACCGGTTAAGAACTATCTGTTCCAAGTTAGGATTATTTGATATATATTCTCCAGCTTGAGGGGGAGTGTTAGAATGTTATATATATATATATGTTGGGCCATTATGTAATTACATTATATTAGTAGGCCCTTGTGTTATTAAGGAGGCTTGTATCCCTTATATAAGCCTATATAGGCTTATTTGGAGTGAGTCGGTGAAATATATATACATTTGTTCTCTCTGTTCTCTCTATCTCTCATGATAAACAACAAAATGTACTTGCTTCTGCTTTTTACACGGCTCAAGACTGTAGGTGCAACTTAAGCTATTTAGTCTACCCAATAGACTTGACGTCTTTTCATTATTTTCACTTGAATTTATGATTGTATTCTACAATACTTTATTTGTTCGTTCTACAAACTTAAGAGCTCCAAGTATGGTGTGTTTCGTACTATAACAAGAGCGAGCAGAAAAGGTGTTGCCGAGGCATGGTGGATTGAATAGGTTTCTTCAGGGTGAGTGACTAGACATGTGAGTCGAGTGGGTGAGTGATGGGTCCAACAATTGCTCCCTCAGTATTCTGCCACCCTCCTTATCCTCTCATTTCTTCCCCTGCTTGAGTTCTGTCCCCTACCCTCTCCTTTTTCCCCTCCTTCCCCCTTCCTTTCTGATATACTTTAGTATTGGAAACACCTCACTTCCTATCTAACCTTCTTACGCATATGCTCGTTCACAAGCCTGTCAGGCTGATTCGAGCCTGTTTGGACTTGGCTCGTCTGTTGTAGGAGCTGATAAGGCTTGTGCTTGATTCATTTGTTTAATTTAATAACAAGCTTGGATGAATCTCTTGCTGAGCGGAACCAAATTGTTCATGAATGGTTCGGTTGCGATCTTTAATGATAAACTTTTTTTTTTCCTAGTTGCTCTTTAGGGAAAGTTTACTTGCAAGAAAAAGAAAAGAATTGTTCAGTTCATTTTTGCAGTCGTACATATAAGCATTGGTTAGTTGAAGTAGGTTAGTTTCATTAACAATGCAGAGTTGATTGACCAGATGATGACGGGTGTAAACAAGCATTCATGCAGTGCCGTAGCCACAGAGGGACAAGTGGGGGCAGTTGCCCCCACTGAACTTTTAATTTTTTAAAATTTTATTTGGAAAGATTTTTATATTTATATAATTGCCCTCTCTAAAATCTGACACTGCACATGTATATATTATATATATATAACCAAAAACCCTTTCACGGTTTTACAAAATGTTAGTTTCCCACAAAATATGATATTTTTTTTCCACTTTCTCAAAATATTATATTCTTTCGCACTTTCCCAAAAAAAAAAAAAAAAAAAAAAAAAAAAAAACCATTTCATCAAGATAATCTTTCACACTTTTAACTTTACCACAAACAAATGGATTGTTTCCATCACATTTTCCTTTCCGCGAGTCTTCAATATTTCACAAAAAATACAGAGACTTAGTCGTACTGTAGTACGGCAGACGAGTAATCTGATATATATATATATATATATATATATATATATATATATATATATATATATATATATATTTTGTATCATCTAAATTTTTTTTTTTTTTTTGTATCATCTAAATTTACGATTATTATTTGATATTGTAATTTTAATTAGAAAATTATTAGTTATTAACTTATTACTATCAAAATTATTTTAGGGCTGCTTGTTCTTTCAAAATTTAGTTTGTATAATTGTGTTACTAATTACTATTCTCTAAATAAGACTTTAATTTTTTTTTTTTTTTTATTTGCTACCCAAATCAATGAAATCACAGATTCACTTACATCAAATTTTTTGATTGATTGGATTATCTGGTTATAACTTATAAAGTTAGTTATCTTCATATCTTGCTTTTTATTTTTTTATTTTTAATATGAATGAATTTTTATTATGAGTACATTGATAATCTGATGTAGTAGTTATTAGAGGACAATTGTGAATGTACTAAATAGAAATATTATAAATCAATGTCTTAATTTTTACATATATTGATTTGATTCAATATATATATATATATATATATATACACACACACACACACATATATATTATTGCTATTAAAAATTGCCCCCACAAAAAAAAAATTCCTGGCTACGCCACTGCATTCATGGATGTGCCAAACTGTTAGTAGAGCATCACTGTTACAAAAATATCCAAGCTAATCTGAAAGATGCTCCTTGAAGCTTGTTTCCTTCTAGCAAATTGCTTCTTGTCATTGTGGTTGGCCTCTTTCTTAATTTCTCCATCTTTTCATTGTACGGTTCCTTGCATCACTGTCGTTTGGTGATAACTAGTCAACTTTGGGTGTTTGTTTAAACTGTTTGAGCAACTATATATATATATTTATATAATTCATGTATTGCACATCAATCTAATTGTTAGATTCACAATTTGTAACATAATTTCGAACACAGATTGATGACTAGTTTCCTTTCCTTCCACCCAAAATATGATATACTATATTATATGTGTGTGTGAGAAGCCAGAAAGCTCAACCTCTAACTGTAGCATATTCTTTGCCTCCTGTAATTTGACCAAATATTATGAGTTATGACTAGCAAAAGTCTTCCTGTACTTGGCCATATCTTAAATATATTTCACCATGGTTCTACTTATTGGTAGTAAAAGCTTCCCCCCCTCTCCCTCTGAATTCTGAGGGGAAGTTGCAATCACGCAAAGGTAGATGTTATGCTCTGCGTAAAAGCTTCCCCCTTTTTTTTTTTATTAACTTTCAAGATAAATGTCTAAAATGTTTCACTATTTGCAGCTGAAAAGGATGCAACAAATGGCATGGGCTCTGGATGGGAACGGTTCGAGTTTAACAAGGATGCACCACTTGATGACGAGGAAATTGAAGGTTAGACATGCTATCTCCAAAGTGCCTTGACTTATTTGTTGGTTATGAAAATGGTTGGGTTTTGTCATCTGCATAATTTACCCATGATTGATGAACTAAACAGATTTGAATTCTACATTGTTCATTTGTTCATTGTTCTTTCCTTCCCAACTTTTGGGCGTAACATCAACTGCTAAATTAGTATTACCAGTCTTCGATAACTTGAATGAATTTCTTTGCAATGTTATCTTCATACTTGTTGCTTTTTTCGTTCCATTTTTAACACCATATTCCTTCCAATGTTGGTGTTTTCTTGGGCAATAATCATATTATAATCACATGATAATCAAGCTGTGGTATGTGTGAAAATATCCTAGCATTTATTCTGTGGTAAGCAGTAAGTAAAATGTTACAAATGTGTGGATAATAAATCTAGTTTAGAAGTCTCTGTTGGATGATTCAGTCCGGAGATCCAAAGTCGGCATAGTTTGTTTCAGTTGTTTTATTCTTAAGCTGTCATAGAAACTTAAAATTAGTTGATTGGGTCGGGTCAAGTTGAGTGAATAAAGTTCAGAATCAACTTAATTTAGTACTCAACTTTCTCAGCATTTAGGTAGATAAGAAGGTACATATTAATACTTATTAGTTATCTCAGCTCATCAAGCTCTATTCCCAGCTAATTAAGTAAGCCATCTTAGAAGGCTGATAGTTAAGATGAATGTCTGCCTTTGTATAATTCGTCTGTACTTGGGTTTGTCCACTTCAACTCATCAGTTTCTTAGTGTTTTGGAAACTGAAATATATGGATAAAGTTGAAAACAAAATAAAAACCTATATGGATGGATTATAAGCACCTTTGGTCAAATCGTAAGGTAATAGATCAGTTCAATATGTAAAAACGTCATTAAGTTGGTCACCTGGATATGGATTTGGTTACTTAACCAGATTATATTTTCTGTACTATTTGGCTTTAATCAGATGTAGACCTATGCTTGCTCTAAATGAATATGTTCCCAGGAGGAATTTAATCATTAACAGTCTTTCTGAGCAAATTAGTACTGATGACATTTCATTGCCTGTCTGCAGCTGCAGAAGATGACGAGGCGTTAGTAAAGAACATTGGCAGAAGCTTCCGGTTTTCTGCAGTGGAGGTATTTTGAATCTCTTTCACGATTTACCACTCAATTTTAGTTCCTGTTTTGTGATCATGTCATTCATATTTAAAACTCCCTTCCGTCCCAAAATTCTTGGGTGTTTTGTGGAATCCAACTTTTTATGATGGTGGATTTTAATTTTTTTTTTTATTGTATTGATAAGAGTGAAATTTCAAATTTATCCTTGCTAAAAGATAAAAGAGTACTCCAAAATTAGTGCACTTGTTTAATAAAGTAAATGTCAAAAGGGTAGTTTAGGAATGTTATAAAAAGTAGTAAATCCATTTTAGGAATGGGACATGTATTTTGGGACGTCCCAAAATAGAAAGATGGGCAAGTATTTTGGGGATGGAGGGAGTAAAGAATAGCCGGATTCTTTTAAAAGAAGAATGTTGATTCTAATCTGATATAATTTTCATTTTGAAGGCCAGAAGGGAGGAAGAAATTAAGGCTGCTCATGATGAGGCCATGTTTGGAGCTTCATCAATTCCACTACCTATTAATACAACAGATGATGAAGTAGAGGAGGATAATGACAAAATTGTGAACATTGAAGTTGCCCCTGTTACAGGTCTCATCAGTGACAAGGTGAGAGATTTTAAGCATGTTTGTTAAGATAGTTATAGTTATAGGTGCTTGCAATGCAACAAGGTTCTTTGTGTGATTGCATGTCTGAGGTTTATGCATACTTTTTTACTAACGATTCTAGGTACTTGGAGTGCAACGAGGTTCATGGCGTGATCGTGCTCGTAAGTTATAGGATGCAAGCTGAGGCTACAGTTGAAAGCCATAACAGAAGAAACCTACATGGATAAAGCTACACAGTAAGGAAACGACACTATCTTGGGCAACTTTATCTCAACATTGCACCACTCACATTCAGCACAATGAAGATTTTGTTCAAGTTCATTGGAAGAAGCCTTTATTTCCAAATAGGCCAGCACAGAGTCTGAGAAGCTCTATTCCAGAAAGGGGTGATTTTGTTTTTATATTGCTTTGAAAATCATGCACTTGGAGGGGTCACTTCTGATTTTGGCAGTTGACATTGAGAGAATTTGAAAATGAAGTTTTCCTCTCTGAAAGGGGGTGATTTTGATTCCTTGTGGAAGTCTCATCAGAATACTATGCTGGAAAAGTGGAAACAAGAACAGTCCCCAGAGTAGTTCCACTTTGTAGAGCTCTTGTGCGTTTGAATTGAAATGTCTATAAACTCATCCTGCTTGTTTGTATATTGACTTGATTTTAGCAAAAACTTTGTTGTTAATGGCATGATGTGGCTTGAATCTCATTGAAATATTTAAGAGGTATCCAATACGTGACTGAAGTATTTAGTAGATACGTATCATAAATAATAGTAAAAATGTTTACGAAGTATTGGACACGTTTCTTCAAGCAAGTGTTGTATTCGACGTGGATACAATACTACAATACAAACATTCTTAAATGATAATATGGAATTTAATGACCCTGATGACATAAATTTTTATTTTTTAAAATGAAATACTAGTGTATCATGGACAACCCCAAAACTACCTCCCACAACGAAACACATCTCTAATATAGATATCCAATGGCTTCTACCATCTCCCAGCCAACAATGGCAGCCCCCTTCAGCTGGAGACTTTTAACTTCTAGAAAAGAAAAGTCGAGTTCATGGCTTTCTTATATGTGTTATCCATGCCCCCTTCAAGACTTCGAAAAAGGGACAAATGCCATTTCTTAGGAACACATACAAGATTCGTTCACTACAAAAAGGGATAGTGGTAACCCAACATTATTTACTTTAACTACATTTATAAATTTCAAAGTAATAGAAATACATGTCTTACCGAGATAGAATTTTTAACTTCCTATCCTCTTGCTAGAAGGCAAAGATTTACCTCCATGGAATGAAAAGGATGATTCATTCCGATGGATAAGAGAGTCCAACTACATTTCATCAGAACCCATGTTGTATATTTAAAAGAGGTGGACCTACTACAATCCTTTTAATTAAGGATGACACCGTAAACGGAGAGGAGCAGTAAAAAGGAACTAAGAATTAAGGGAATTGATAAGGCGAATTATTGCGCCATACAACGGATCTGTAAAAAAAAACTATGTTTTTGTTGACAAGTTCAGTTAGGTTTACATTTTAAGTTCAAACAGAACTAAGCCATCTCTAGTCCTCAGACAGGTATGGCTCTATGAACTCGCTAAGAACCCATTCTCACAATGAGATTACACCTTAGTACAACTCTCTAGATGAACATATATTGCACAAGGAAAGTACAAGATTGTGTTCATACGCCGTACCAAAGCTTTTCTTCAGATTGTGTGCACTACGCCATAGTTAAGGTTTTACTGGAGACACTTATTTCGTGTAATCTGGAATAAAGTCCATCGAGAGGTTTTTACAGCTTTGAAGGAGACTGATACCACCCCCATGGTTCATCAGAGATGTACTGCGTGACCTGCTTCAAGCTCAAGTAGTTTTCCAGCCCCCTGCAAAAGGATAGGAAAAATGTTCATATCCAAGTGATCATAGTCATTGATTCTGATAATCTGCGTATGCCCATCCTAATGCACCGGTTTAAAAAACGTCTCAAGCTACTTTTTAGGCTGTAGTTCTGTACCAAAAAATATACAAGTGGCATTTGCCATTTTTGGTTTTATACTTAGAAAGAGGAGGCAATTCCGAAGCGACTTCAAAGTTCAAACCAATTGTTGCAACACCATCTTCCACTTCTTTCTAAGATGCAGTTTGGGTAAATTTCTACTTCTACTTGCTTTGCTAGGCTAGTTTCTTCAGAGAATCACATTTTTTAAAGAAAGATCTAACATGCAAACATGCGTATGCACAAAATAATAAAGGATGTCTCACAATCTTCTCCGGAGAACTTGAGGCCTAACCATACCCTTACGCACACCCAATAACTATTTTTAGATGAAAATTTACATCCAAACCAACATATTCTACAAAGTTTGAAGGATGATTAAGGAGGAGGTTTCACATTACCATTCCCCTAATTCACGGCCAAAACCACTACGCTTATTGCCCCCCCATGGAGCTTGACAGAAGCACGGTTGTGAGCAGTTGACCCAGACAATACCTGCCTGAAGAGCCTGTCGAATAGCAGAACAATTGAAACACAAACATTAACAAAACTATGTGGGCTCCATCCAACCATAATATGATGCTTATTTGAGGCTGAATGGTGGTAGCTTGTTACTCAAGTACAAATCAAGTCTCACCTTAGTTACGCGCTCACACCTTTCCAGATCTTTGGATATCACAGCTGCACCTAAGCCGTATCTGTGAAACATCATAAACAAATGTCAGAACAGCTCTCCTATTAATCATGATAATACCAGACAAAATTCCCAAAAGAGTCCACAACTCACTGGGTGTCATTTGCTAGTTCAATAGCTTCATCTTCAGTACTAAATGTTTTAACACACAGAACAGGTCCAAAAACTTCCTCTCTCCAAATTTGCATGGAGGTAGTTACATCGGTTATGACGGTTGGTTCAATGAAAAATCCCTTCTTCAAATGCTGCCAATCATTCATGAAGTAACTCAATTGTCACCACATTTCAGAACTAAAGCTACGCATACCCGAACAGAAGGGGATTTTACCTGAGGACGAACTCCACCACACAAGATGGTTGCACCTTCATTCTTGGCTGTTGTGATGAATTGCATTACCTTCTCATACTGAAGAACACGAGGCAAATGTTAGATAGTATGCATCTTAATCATTTAAGAAATTACTAACTCAACCAAAGTGATGTATAGAAATATGTCGGGAGTCTATAAAAATCTTCAACTGGAAGAGCAAGATTGATGTGGCAACCTTATACACGCCATATTCCAATACTAACATATGGAAGAAATATCTACAACACTAAAAAGAATCCATCTCAGAGTTGATAGGTTCTTCCTTCTTTCAGAATATATTGTGATGCCATGTTTATGTCGGGAACACATCCATGTCTCTGCTCATTCAATATATATACTGAACATGTGAAAGTAATTCTTCTTATTTCTCTTCAATGGCACTGTAAAGGGCATTCCAGAATAGGCCAAACAAAGGGAAGGAGAATCTTAAAAGAGGGAAAAGTTCTATGAAATAAGCAATATGGAAGATGAAGTAGAGATACTTTGTATGTACAGACGAGCAACAATAATTATTATTTGTTTGAATTTGTTAGATTCATTTGCAATTGGCATTAATTGATTCTAAAACTTCCAATAATTCTTACAATAGAACCTGCTCTAGTTTTGTTAACTAAAACTACATCCTTAGAAAACATGAACCAAGCTATGAATGTATCCAAATGAAACTCGATAGAGCTCATTATTAATCCTTGGCAAAAGTTTATTAAGGTATCTAATTACTTCTCACAGTTTTTTTTATTTTTTTTTTATTTTTTTATTTTTTCTTCATATTGTTCTCACACTGGTCCAATTTTGGGTTGGCATTTTTCTCACGCTAATTGCTGTTTCATCATGCATGTCCTTAATTATTTCAACATATCCAATTAATACATGTTCTTTTCTAAACTTTACCAGATTATTAATTAATTATAATCTATCCTTTTCCAAAATACCTGAGTACCATAGAAAGGTTTATCTTATTCTCTAAACCCTTCTATCAATCAGAGCTATGGAAGAGTATAGTTTCCTTTACATTACATTAAAAGCAATAAGTCAAATTAGTACCAATATACTCTATCCGCATCTATATGCCCAATCACCCCCTCCTAAATTTTCTATGGTTGGTATCCTTGTATTTGAGAAGTGGGGTGAGGACTAAAAAGCCATATAAAATTTGTGAACTGATATATTTATTGTGGTCACTGTACACATGAATAGATAAAGAAGTATAAAATTGTAGTTCATGATCGCTTTATATAAAATATAGAAAGAGTGGCAAAATTTAGTCAACTAAACAAAGAGAAGTATATGCAAATTTGATTCAGCAGTTATAGGAAATTTTCATTTTACCACCAACGGCCTAACCAAAGTGGTATCTCCTCATCCTCCCAAATGGGAGGTTAAGGGTTCACGTCTCCGTTGAGACAATAGCGGATATGTGATGAGTCTTATCTAATAATATTGATTATTAGAAAAATAAAACCTTAAAACAAGTGCCATACTTTTGTGTGCCTATATCAAGTGTGAGTCCTTACTTGTTCCAGAGAATCAATCATCTATACCACGATTATATACATGATGCATATTTAGGCAAAATACCCCAGGTTTCTCAGCTACAATCTACCCATCAGAATTCATAAATAAAGATTTGCCTTTATTTTTATAATTTATTGAATAAGAGGCGTGGCAGATTATTTTCCAAGAAAGGGCATAGCAGAATTTTGAAACAATTTTCTTACCTGGCCTTCACTAACAACAGGGCCAAGCCGGCAACCTTCTTCCAAGGGATCTGAAATTTTAATGTTTTTTATCCACTTTACGAGCCTGTCTAAAAATTCCGCAGCTATGCTTTCCTGAAAGAGTTATAGGACAAATACTTAGCATATTTTTTCAAGGTGATCAGAGTTATTCAAAATCCATTCTAATGCATGAAATGTTAAAGTATGCAACTAACCAAGATAAAATATGTTTTCTTTACCATTAGCCCCTTTAGCTCATAGAATATTTTTTACAAGTATGTGCAAGTTATGCATATACAGATATAATTTAGTGCTGACATTTAATAGTGTTGCGTCTTTGATTTATTTTTCTGAACAACACAATTGTCCTTTCAAACTAAACCTTAAAAATGTGTGGAATACATACATCTACTTCTTGTACTTACATGCACTATAAGACGAGATGTTGCACTGCAAATCTGACCATTTGTCCAAAAGCAACCAAAAATAGTCCACTCGGCAGCTGATTGACAAACAAGAGCACTAGTAAATATTTTGATTGTTTTCTTTTGAGTACCAGAAGTTATTACTTGCACACTTTGTTTTATTACAGAAGAAGTAAAGCTGTTTTGTTTCTTTTTTATAATTATATCACACAAAGACGATTTAATTTTCAAATACATAAACAGCACAGAATTCAAAAAATGTGCTTGAAACATTAGAAGGTACTAACCCTTATCAAGATCAAAATCCTCAAACAAAATAATGGGACTTTTTCCACCTAGCTCAAGTGTAACAGGCTGTAAGCAAACATGATATGAGATTCGTGTAAGAGAAAAGATTGATAGCTAACACAATAAATTAAAATACATTGTACCATACCTTAATAACTGAAGCTGCAGCAGTCATGATCTTTCTCCCAGTGGCAGAACTTCCAGTAAATGCAACCTGTAAGGAAACAATCCAAGTGAGATTACTATATTGTCGACCTCCACCTGTTATATACCACACAGAGTTGCAGCATAAATTAAATAATCTAAAAGAAAAATTATTAAACCTTGTCAACATCAGGATGACATGCCAAAGGGGCACCTGCTTCTACGCCATATCCAGTCAGAATATTAAGGACACCCGGAGGAAGACCCACCTCTTTACACACTTCAGCCAACTCCAAACAGGTACTGAATTGAATATATAGCAATAAGCATATGGCAAATATAACTAAACATATATATATATACATATATATATATATATATATATATATATATATATATTAAAGTGTCTATTAATTGATAAAGACATACACAGATGCCAACTCTGATGGCTTGAGGATTGCAGCGCATCCAGCAGCCAGGGCAGGAGCAACTTTCCATGTAGCCATCAATAGAGGGTAATTCCTTCAACAAAAATGGCAAGTAGCATATAAGTAAATGAGGCACTGAGATTGTTGTTCACATTAATCAAAAGGCGATCAATACAAAAACCATTATTATCAACCATCAAAATAATCCACTAAACCAAGCCATACCAAGAATCATCATAATCCCAAGATAAATAGATCCAAGAGACCTAATTCATATGCTTGCCAACCTAGAAAATTGTAGAAACATTTTCAAACCTGTTCCTGACAATTATTGACATACCAAAGCAAGTGCTCAAGAAAAGGACCATCAAAGTGCGAACTCCCTTTTGCTAGTGTCCTTAATAAAATTTTAAATCATCATTTGAATAGCCTAATCAATAATTGTGGACCTATTCAAGAGTCCCATCCATTGTACATGGAAAAACAGGAAACGGACATTGATATGCCGATTGCTGACATACAGAACCATGAGCACCGCAAGAATACGATAATACACCAAAAACATACATATAATCTGAGATATTTTTCAATTAATTCATCCAATTTTCTGTGCTGCAAATTGTTTAACTTAGAAGATGAAACTAAACAAATAAAACATAGTCCTACTCCTACTACATGCTTTGCTAATGTCAACCATGGTGAATTCCCCACACCTCCCTCCTTTTTCTCTCATTTTTGGAGACATTCAAGGCTTGTCTAACATGCTAACAGGAGCATCCAGTTCAGGCACACAGGTCCGCTTAACAAGTGTTTGTGATGCATAGGTGTCCCAACTCTTGTAAGCATCCCCCAGAAATAATAGAGCAAGCTATAAAATTAACTATTTAAAAACAAAAATCCACACAAGTCATTTTGATGAAACGCACTTTTTAGGCTATTGCACACTCAATGTCTAACATCATAGACAACTTCTTCTATGTTTAAATTAAATCATATAACGGAAAAATAGACAAAAATAATATTATAAATTCAGAACTTCATCTTGGCTGGCAATTGGCAGTCAGAGCCATTACTAAGAATGTCAAATAACAAAACCTACCGCGGCCATCAGATTGAATAAAAATAGCAAAAGATAGTTCATGAGGCAAACACTTGGAACAAACACCCAGCCAAAAGTGAATAACAAAAGGAAGTAAACAGTTCAACACAGTTTATTATTATTTTTTAACACATTATGTTATTTCGACTAATTAACTCGGACGAATTTGATTAAATGTGTAGCCAAAGCATGAAAAGTACAACGAATACACCATGTATGGGGATTGGAAAGAATAAATACTAATGGATAAATAAAATGAGTATTAATGGACTGCAGGAAGAAGGTCAGTAGATGTTCTTATGCAAGAAAGCATGCAACATCAAAACATTGCATGGTACCGGAGAGTCTATAGTGTACATGGATTAATTAAATGAACAAGACCACCCCTTCCCATCAAGATAGAAAAGCGATTGTAATAATATTTCAGTTTACAAAGAAATTCATGCAATCACCAAGGGAAAATCTAACAAACAAAAGAAACCAAAGCATATATAATGAATAAAAAGAAGTAGCAGATACCATGGAGTAATCAACCCAACAACCCCAATGGGTTCCCTGAGAACATGACACTTGAATGCCTCCATTGGAAGAGAAACAGGAGACTTTTGCTTTGCATCCAAAGCTTCAGCAAGGTCGGCATAGTACTCGAAACACCCAGCAACATCGTCCTGTATGTGACATGAAGAAGTGTGTAAGCTACATGTGCATAATAGTAATACAAGAAAATTTTAGGTACATGTCACAGCCATACTATATCCCATGCTGCTTCATCCAGCGGTTTCCCGCAATCAATTGCTTCAAGTTTCGCGAGTTCAGCCTTTCTCTCTGTTACCTGCACCAAATGGAGAAAGGAAGTTCTCAGGATGCTCCAAAACCGAACCGAACAACCTCTAAATTACAATGATATAATGGTTCTGCAGAACATATATTCAAATGGAACAACACTTAAGGGTCTAAACTCTAAGATAGCTTGATAAAAACATGTGATACAGACTCAGAAGGGCAGTTCAACATCAAAAAGGTAGAACCATTGAAACTTGGATTTTAGGTCAACAAAGTTTCAATAAGGCATCAAAACCTACTGAAACATTTTAATGCAATAAATTTTAATATATACCTTTGCAGCAATAGCTCGCAAATACTTTGCGCGATGTGCCCCAGTTGCAGAGGCCCAGTCTCTCCCTTTGTTTCGGGATAGGGCCCTCCGAGCAGCACTCACTGCGAGTTCCACATCTTCTGCAGTAGCAGCCGGAATATTTCCTAAAATACAACTCAACAACAAAGCTCCACTTATCAAATTGAAGTAACAAATCAAAACCAGGAGTCATTTCATTTGTATCTGTTTGGTTTCCGAGAAAATGCAGAAAAGTATACTAGTAATAGCTTTGATATTGATTGTTTCATTACTAAAGACATCAAATAAAGAAAATCTCCTTAAAAAACCATTACACTTAGTTCTATGGATTTCTTTACTTTTTTTCCCTTTTTCATTCTCATTTCGTAGCCAAAGCAACAAATAGCTAATCAATGATCAGAAAAGCTTACAGTAACCAAAATGCACAATTGAAGAAATGTAAAGAAAACATAAAATAGAAGAAATCTCCGATTCTCAACCGATTCAAACAAAATCATAAACATATAATATTATATAATTAAATCTATAAGTATAGAGAGAGACAAAAAGACCTATGATCTCTTCGGTTGAAGGATTGATGATGGGAATACGATGCTTCTTCACAGGTTCTCTCCATTCGCCGTCGATGAAGAGCTGACGTGGAGGTATCCTGATCGCCATCTCTCTCTCTCTCTACTCTCTCTCTAGGACTGGCTTGAGTGTTGAGTTCAAGAATTACCATACTGGTAGTAGTTTAGCATAGTCGTTTTTATATCACGCTTTTGGGTCTTTTCGTAGTCGGTCTTCGTTTTTTGTTCTTCTTTTTTCAACGCTTTTGGGTCTCTTTGGGGTCGGTGTGGCAAGTCTAGTGCCGGCCGACATCACTGTTGCCGACTGCCTACCATGTCTACTGGTGCCTGCCGACTTCAAATATTGCGGACTTGCCTACCATGCCTACTGCCTACTATTGTGAGTAGTTTTGGATAAATTATTATATGGTCATGTATCATTGGGATGGGGCCAATTATATTTTAAGTCTCATCTCGTGGATTAATTGGGGTTCTTAGTTTTGAAATCATATAATAATTTTATGAATAATAAAGGTTGACAAGTCTAATTCGTGCCTATTTTTCTAAACTCGATTAAAATTTGGCATGTTAGGTTGCACTTGATTTAAAGTTCTTTTAAAACTTATTGAAAAATTTACATTTTAAGTTAGATTCAAGTTAGATTAAGTTGAATCAATCCAAGTCCATCCAAAGATCAAAGTGGCTTCAATTAGGTCTGAGCAATTTGTGTAATGTGTTGAGTTCTAACCTAATTGAGAAAAAAAAAAAAAAAAAAAAATGGTGAAAGCGTTAATTATTTTTTTAAATACTATGTCCTTTAAATTTATTCTTGTAGTCGCACAATTGTCCTAAAAATTACTCTTTAATTTCACTTTTGAAAAGTAATTATGTCAAACTTGTATTAAAAAATAAATTAAAAAATATCTAATGCGACTAAATAGAACCGACTCAGATGCATAGTTTAGTAGCTTGAACCCAGTTTTATACTTATTTTACTTTTTAAAAATCGAAAATGACAAAATGGTCCTCCAAAAGTACTAAAGTGAAGTTTTAATATCATTTTGGTGACTCTTAATCATATCATTTAAATAAATCAAAGAAATATAAAGAAAATATAATAAAATCTCTTGTGTTGCAGGATTGATGATGAGAAGACGATTCTTGTTGACAGGTTCTATCCATTCGCCATCGATGAAGAGCTGGTGTGAAGGCATCCGGATTGCCATTTCTTTCTCTCTCTCTATATCTATCACTATCGATCTCTCTTTCTCTCTCTATATATCTATCGCTATCCATCTATCGCTATCCATCTTTCTCTCTTATATCTATCGCTATCCATCTTTCTCTCTCTAGGATTAGGACTAAATTGAGTGGGTGATCGATTTCAAATTTTCAATAATTGAGTAGGGCTATATTGATTCTTTTTATTGCTCTTGGGACTTCTCGAGGTCGGTGTGACACTTAAACCGAAGTTTGGTTGGATATGTTTTTTTTTTTTTTTTTTATTTTTATTTTTTATTTTTAATTTGGTGAATAGGTTAATCAAAGTTGGATTCAAAGGTATAAAAATTTGGAAAAAACAAATTTGTAGATCGATTTTAGTTACCAATTGACTTAACGATAAGTGATATAAAATTTTAAGAATGAAAGAGATTCTATTTTTATTAATCACTGACGAGAGTCTTGTTTATTGACATATGTGTTTTTTTTTGGCTTGTATTACAGTTTGGAATGCTAGATTATGCTTGATTTAAAATTGTTTTTAGGGATTGGTTAAATTATGAAGTTACCTAATATTCTAGAAACATTATTAGGACAAATTGCATAAAATTCTTCTCCACTTTCAATTTTTGGCAAGAAACTCTCTTAAAGAAAAAAGTTCATTAAACTCCCTGACCTATCAAATTTGTTTTAAGAAAGATTTTCATTTTAAGTTTTTATTCCTTATTTATTTTTAAAAAATTAAACTTTGAATTTTTTAAAAAAATTACACACCATTAAAGTTATGTTTTATATTGACAAAATAAAAATGTTCACACCATTAAAGTGATGTTTTATATTGACAAAATAAAAATGTTAGGTTCTTATTCCTTTTTCATTTTAAGTTTTCTTTTCCTTTATATGTTTTTAGAAATAAAAATTTAAGAAAAAATTGAAGTTACCTAATAATCTAATAACATTATTAGGGCAAATTGCATAGAACTATTCTCACTTTCAATTATTGGCAAGAAACTGCCCTGAAAAAAAAAAAAAAAATGGTTGGCATCAAACCCCTTAACTATCAAATTTGTTGCAAACCGATGTTATAATGAGTAAAATGTACTCTATTCTCACTTTATTTTCCTTTATATGTTTTTAGAAATAAAAATTCAAGAAAATTTTGAAAATTTGTTTCAAGATATTTTCATTTTCTTATAGATGCACCATTAAAAAAAATCAATTTATTTTCAATAATACTATGCCAAATGAGTTATGTTTTATTAATTTTAATTTAATATTAAGGGCACCATCTTATTAAATTTGTATTAAGGGACATTTAAGTCATTATAACACCACTTTGCAACAAATTGAAAACTTAAGGGGGGGTTTATGTCAACTTTTTTCTTTAAGGAGGTTTCTTGCCAAAAATTGAGAATGGAGGGGAATTTTATACAAAGTGTAACTAATTCTGAATCGAGACAAGGTTGAAATATTTTAACCCCAGTAATAAAAACTAATATCCAAGTCCAACCCGAGTTTGTTTGTTTGGTTGGCCTGCAGAAGTTGCACCCCTATCATTTTTGCAATCCATTAAATTTCAATTTATTTTTTTATTATTTTAATTTTTATTATTATTATTATTATTTTAACACAATTATCTTTTAAAGTTATCCTCACACTCAATTATCCTAAAAACTACTCTTCGCTTTTGAAGAATAATTATGTAAAGTTTTATGGAAAATAAAAAAATTATTATTATTTTATGCGCCTAAATAGGACCGGCCCTTGTGCTGTCGTGATATAGTATTTTTTTCAAAATAGAAAATAACAAAATTGTCATTTGAAAGTATTACCCAATATATAATAATTCTAAAGAAAAATGATACTTTGGCCTCCCTATTTCATAAACATACACATTTTCAACCATTAGATGATTTAACATGCATGTATATCCAATTAAAGTGGGTCCCATGTCAATCCATCTAATGATCCGAAAACTTCTGTTGTGATATAACATGCATGTATATCCGATTAAAGTGGATCCCATGTGTCCTAAAACTTCTGCCGTGGATTCATGTCAACTCGTCTACTGAGGGATACTTGTGTCATTTTCTTCGTAAGGAAATTAAGTGAAGTGGCAATATCAATTTACTTATTCCTATAATACCCTTAAATAGTAATTAATACAAATGACCTAAGTAACAAAATCATTCTCAATAGGTGTCGTTTTCATGTTTCTAATGCGCTTTCATTCTTACGCTCCAAGCTTGCTCTTGCTCAAATTCTCATTACTCATGGCTTAATTCTGCTCTCTCACGTTTACGCTCATACTCTCAAATTCGCTCTCGCTTCCACTCCAACTTTATACAATTTAGCAAATGACTTTAAAAAGTAAGACATAAAATATATTTAGATCAAAACGTACTTATTATTATTTTTATTATTATTGAAAGACAAATAAGTATTAACTTTTTTTTAGGAACAATAAGTCCTACTTTTGAGGTTTTTTTCTTTTTCTTTCATTTAAGGGTTAAACCACTTACATTTTCCATTTATACCCATACTAAATTTAAGTAAAATTTTGTAATTATGAATTTATTCAAGAATTAATATATAATCTATTTTAAAAATATATTCGGTAAGTTTTAGTTACTTAATAATATATTCTGTAAGTTTTAGTTACTTAATAATGTCGCATTATGAGTTTAAATAATAGTTAATCTAATTTAAATTCAATTAAAAAACTCAAATGTAGAATACGGGATTTTAGTACAAAAAAATAATTATTCTATAAAAATTACTAAAATGATTTATTTATTTTTATGTCTAATTTTGTAAAGGTATGTATATATGAAAGTTTGAGTTTAAATTTTATATCTAATGTAACAAGAGTTTATATAATTTAGTAAGGTTATAAATGGAAGATTTAGTGATTAGGACTTAAATAAATAAATAAAAATGTTAAAACTAAGACTTATTGATCATTTTCTGAATTCTTGAAAATAATTTTGTGTAGGTTGAGCCCTTACTTTTTGAAAAAGTTTGCAAAAAAAAAAAAACTAGGGGTGCACACGGTCTGGTTTGGACTGGATTGGGAGTATTTTAAAACCAAACAATTTATAACGGTTCTATTATTTTTGAAACAAGAACAAACCATAATATTCAAGGAATCAAACCAAACCAAACCACAAAAACCGGTTTGGTTCGGTTCGGTTTGTCGGCTTCAGTTGATTTTCTTTTTTATTTTATTTTAATTTTGTGGGGGCAAAGTTTTAAATATATATATCAACTAACATTGATATAATACGCCAAAAAAAAAAGAATTTTCAAAAAGAAAAAAATGAAAGAAAATTGAGATATATTTGAAAAGGGAAATTTGACTTTTTATAAAAGAAATTTAAGGAATTTAAAGAACAAAAGAAAGAAAGAGGGCATGTGAGAATTTTAATTGATTTAGGTTTAGGATATGATATACATATATAAATATATATTATATAACATAGTAATGATTCGGTTCGGTTCGTACTGGTCTGGTACAGCACGACCTTAAACTAGGACCGGACTAAAAACTTACAATTTCATAATTTTGGGTTTAGGACAGGACCAAACCGCTATACAACTAACCCAAACCGTCCAATTCAATATGGTCTGATTCGATTTTTTGGTTTACCCAAATTTTTGAACACTCCAAAAAAAACCCATCAATTAACTTCCCAATATGGAAAAAAAAAAAAAAAAAAAAAAACTTCCTAGTAGAATATTTTGGTTAATTATGAAAAGTCAACAACACATACGTGTGAAGTAGTATTTTATGCTGTCGTACAATTTAGGATCCAGTGCATTTAAATAGATAGGACAATAGTTACTTAATAATTTTAAATTAATAGTGTAAAAAATTCGTAAAGTAATTAACATTAAGTTAAAGATTTATTGGATTCAATAGTTAACTATTATCAAATTGAATGTTTTAATTTATATTTAATT